TTTCTGCAAAACAACAAAACACGTGATGCCCAATCAGATTGTTGCTTTGGACATCTATCAGCTCCTGATACCTAGTAGTAAATATTTATGAACTTGAATAATCTCTTTCAAATATCTAATTTATAAACATTTATTTTTCACACTGTACTCCAAATTAACATGAATAAAATGAATTCAAATATCTTGATAAGAGATCTCTAAACTTGATGTAGTACCTAAATATATTGTCTATTTAATTATATACCGCAATATTTTTTGGGATTGATACACATACCGTTATTTTTGTTATTCGCACCCTAAACTTAATCATCGCATTGTGGGGCTCCAGAATTCAAACTTCACTTTTTTGATTAGTAATAATGCTTACTAATCGAAAACGGTGCTTGAATTTTGGAGCTCCGACATCATACGATGCGATGATTAAGTTTATACTAATCACCCGATGTCGGGTGACTAGCCTTATTATTGGATAAATTTAATCACATCGGTACAAAAAAGTAGACCTTGTCTGCAGATCCTATGCGATATACTACGTATCCGATTTGGGGTGATATATCATCCGAAGTGATAAACTGAGATGGTCACGATGCAGGGTAATACAGGTTTTGTCAAATATCCGGACATACGTAGTAGCAATCAAACTCGGCATCTTAGCAATCAAATTCAGACGGCGATATTTCGTGATCCAGTGATCTAAATCACACGATGTTGGTACCATTCGACTCGTCTTAACAAGACGAGTCGTATGGTACCAACATCGTGTGACTTGGATCACTGGATCACGAGATATTGCTGCCCGAATTTGATTGCTACTATATCCGAATTTGATGTCCAAATTTGATTGCTTAGGTGTCCGAAATTGGTATACTAAACCTGTAAAGCTTTTATAAAATCGTAAATATTTATATCAATTTGATTACTAGTAAGGTAGTTGTGTAACATTATAAGAAATAAGCAAGTTATTTACGTATGACCTGATTTTGGCATTTATATCAATATATAGTGCTCTATAGCATATGTTGCTTTGATACATTATATTGCGATAATTTATATTATTAAATAAGTAGCTGTGCGACATTGTCACGCTAAACCAGGAACGGATGAATATAAGCTTAACTTAGAAAAGGTTGAACAACTCCAATACAGAATAGTTATATATTGTTTTGAATATAGATAAATAAAATCGAATATACAACTAAATACTGCATAACTATATTGATATGAGACACTATAATTTAAACAAACAAGAAATTTCATAATGTTTTTAGATGTATATAGTATAGAGTGTAAAATATCTCTTTAAAAAACATATCATACCAATCCACTATAATTTTCTAATGCTAACCCTAATGATACTTAATGCTGGAATAGATATTAAATATAGGGGTATTTCACACCCCATACCGTCAGATCTGGTCATACTAATCTGCATAATTAGAAATGTTCTTGGCAGATGATAATTATACAGACTAATGTAGATAATAAGCTAAATGAGCCCATATTAAATACTTAGATCAATTAAACAAATAAATAATCGCTAAACTTAGAGACTATTGGTGCTCTCAATGTGATTAGCTACTACTGAGATCGTGCATAATGTAGTACGATTAATTGAAGCAATCCTTACTGTAATTTTGCTAAAGATTCACCTCGCATACGTACTAATAATTTTTTTCTGACAATTTTTGTGGCAAATGATTATTATGATATTGTAAAAAGACGTTGCAGTTTTATATTTTTAATTTAAAAATTTAAACTGTAACTTTCTTTTACAATAACATAATAATAATTTACCACAAAAATTGTCAGAAAAAAATTGTTAGTGCGCGAGGTGAAGCAATTTTTTAATACTAATATTTTGCTATATATCGATATATAGTAATCTATCGATTTTGCTGATCTATGCTGGAAAATCTATCATTATTATTATAATAGATTTTCGTAGATGGTTAATTGTATACAAAATAAAAGCCCGATGACAGGTTTTCTTTCAAATACGTTCCTCTGGTTGGTCATATTCATTGGTCCTGCATATACCGATACTAGTAAAAATTAATATACAGATTTTATTTATGCCGCTCCTGATTTAATTGGTATCATATGATCAATTGTTAGAGAAATTTTGATTGAAAAAACAGGTTTTGTTTTTCTTTTATTTTAAGCGACTAAACAAATAAGCAATATTAAATTTGTGAAACGCATATTTCCTAAATTTGGTCTCTTGTTTTTTTAACGCTTTATTGTTATCGTTATTGTCAAATATTACTAGCTGTTTTAAGCGAATAAGTGCATAAAATAGGCAAGATGCTGTATCACGAAATCGAAAAGCATGATCCGGTCTGATACGTATACGTACCAGAGTTGATTATATTACAGTATTATGCGCGTTATTAAAACTGACACAGATATACTCCCGGAAATAGCACCAGAATATCACAGTAAGCAGTTGAGTTTGTGCGGCTTAGTGCTGGCTATAGTTGTTAGACGAAACCATTTTTGCTTGATGACGAAAGTCGAAACCTGAGCCCTAAATGACAAAACCTCTGTCGAAAGTCGAAACCTCAAATTCTTCTGACAAAAGTCGAAACCCTCAAATCTTTCTGACGAAAGTCGAAACCCAAACTTAACTTGACAAAACCCTAGTAATCCCTTTAAAAAAAAAAAAAAAAAAAAGTAAGTAAAAATTACTAAAAAAAAATCTGTTATTACCGAAACTCTTACCAAATTCTGGTGCTCCCGCTAAAAATAAAAAAAAAAGATTATTTTAATTGAATTATTAGATGGCTAGAAACTTTAATTTTTTTTCATAAAATCTCATAGTCCCGTAAGGTCATTTTCAAGGCAAAGTCTCAAAAAAATAATAAAAATCTATTGAGACTTTCTTTTTATTTAATGCTAAAGCTTTATTGGCTTGTATATTTAGTTTTTAAAAACAGAAATTATAAATGGGTAATAAGCCAATAACACCTCTCGAATACTTAAATAAATATAAATATAGAGAATTAAATTATATAATATTCTGGTATTTTTCTTTTTTTTATTTATATATTTTTTTTATTCAATATTGAAATATCTTAAATTTTAAATTTTATTTTGTATGTATAATATATAGTTATTGGATGCGAAGCAGCCAATAACGGAAATTATTTTCCAAATAATCTGCGCTAATTTGTCTTTTATTCTTAATCGAAACAATGAAATATGTAAAATAATCTGTTTATTATTTAATTTCTTATTTGTGCTAATTTACTTAATTGATAAATCCCATAAAAACTGCTGCATAGAATTTTGCAAACTTTTTTTTTAAAAAAATTTTAGATTTAAAGAATAATTTTTAGATTTATATCTTATTTATTTAGCTCAATATAAAATTTTAAAAAGTGCCCATAATACCATGGTAGGCCACTGTAGTAATTACAATTGTTATACATCGGAAATTTTTTTAGTGCAGTTCTGTACAGATTTGCAAATATGCAATACTTCAAACCTGGTACGTACGTACGTAGCTATATATGCAGAAATTAAATATAAAACTTTGAATTTTGTAAATTTTGCAAAAATCTTTATTTTTGCAGATTTACACTTATTTAATTTTCCCGATGTACGGTACATATATAAGATTTAATTTACGTATCAATTATAGATATAATAATCATATATATAGAAATTATATACTTTCATTTCTGATTTATAGCTATGTTGCACAGCTTTCTTATTAATAATCATATATAGTAATTAAATATTATTTAATTAAGAATGGTGTTTATTCGTCGCATTATTTCTTCTCCAGCTAGAAACGTTAAAAAAGCCTATTTCTATTATGAATCACAAGACAATAATTTTAAAATCACATATTATACCCTTCTACGATTTTTAACCTAGCAACCTCTCTACAAATGTTACATTCTAAATTATACATACTCAAGTATGATCTCTCCTCAAATTCATCAGATAATTTCATAGTTCTCCATTTATGATATTCTAAATAAGCAGTCTCATTACTAATTAAATATTTTAAATAATTAGCAAGCGCTTCAGTGCTATTAAAATCTTCAATAAAAATAGCAGATTTAGGATGCGGTAAGTAAGAACGAGTATTAGGCGCACCCCATATAATAGGCACAACACCCAAATTAAATGTATCCCAAAGCTTTTCAGTAGAATAATCTTTTTCTTGAGAGTTTTCAATTGCTAAGTAAAATGGATATTTAGAAATAATACAATTTTTTGTACCAAAAAAATCTAAATTCTCGCATTCTGGATAGAAGTCCCAATCAGTGTTATGGCGAACACCACCGAAAGATGCAATGGGAATATAGTTCTCTATGCTTGAAATAAAATCTTCCCGGAATTGTGTCCAATGAGAAGCAATAAATGAAACAAATGGAGAATTTTTGGAGAGCCTTGTTATATTAAAGGGAGATTTTGAATGCCAATGTTTGAAATCCATTCTAACATAGCTTGTAGGTACATCAGAATCTTCATCATAGGTTGCAAGGATATCAAATTGGTGATTTTTATCATAACAGTCTGGACAATGAGTTTTAGGCTCCATAGTATATAGTATGTATTTTTGCCCTTTCCATGCTTTTTTTTTTGGTAAATTTGGATTTGGATTGTTAACACAAACAAGAGCATCAGCACTTTTAAGTTCTTCTTGCGTTAGACTTTTGAAATCTTTCATTTTCCAGATACATGGTACCTCGCAATCTGATAATGTTTCGTCATGATTATATTTGAGTCTTGGATAGTCATCATTATCGTACCAAGTACCCCTAATTACATATATCCTCATTTTTCGGCCTTCATTTAAATAGCCTGTAATGTAATTTCTTTGTTTCCATTCTGTGAAATTGGTAGGTTTGATCTTAAGTTTATTTATTAATTCTGTTGAATTATTAAACTTAATAGGTAACTCATTAGGTATCTTAATATCTTCGTGATTCAAGATTTTCGTTACTAGTGGTGGTATTATCACTAGTAATGAGAAAGCGAGTGCGCATATTGTATAAAAAACATATTTTTGTTGTTTATTAAGTAACATTTCTATTACGTATGAGTATTCAATGTGGTGTTAAAACTGGCCTTTAAAGTAATCAAAAATAAAACATGAAGAATAATTTAAGAATAAGAAGTTTCTTCGTTTTTGGTAGTACAATAGTAGAAATTAGCGCTTTTTAGTTAAGTTTAAGTTTTAAAAGTTATGGAAGCGACAAGATAGTGTCGCAGGTAAATAAGTAACTTGCGTAACTAAAAACGGTACGTATTTCGTTATTTTATTAAATCGATTAATTAAGAGAAAAGGCACCACTATTTTTATTGGTTATATATTCATATTTTGTTTTGACTATTTATTTCCTTTTACACAAATTCGTACGTATGTACAACCTGACATTTAAATTCGCACGTACGAAGTAAAGTAGTACTGTACTGTACGGCAGTATAGATTCAGACGTACGTACGTACGAAAACTATTATCACTTTCAAATTTCTGTCAATAATAATAATTATACCGATTAAAATGTAAGTAGTACAGTACATACGTAAATCTAAAGTATGTTTTTCAATTTAAAAGATTTTTTTAAAAAAAGTTTTTATTGATTTTTATTGCAAAATGCCTTCACAAACCTTTGAAAAAATTGTTGACAGCTATGTGAATGGTCAAATAGTCGAAAAAAATGAAAGTATAATTGAATATAACATACAATTTTAACGTTACATACTGTATGTCAATTTTTAATTGATTGAAGTTTGAAAGTGACGTCTAACAAATACAGCAAAATTCATGATTTCTATACGTCCATCCCAATTTGCGTTTCCGTACCACTTTACTATATACTCGTACAAAATTTGTACAAAAACATGTAATTTGAGGTGGTGATCCGATTTAGATGATTTTGGTACCATTGGAATCTTCTCATTGAGATGATTCGGAATCTTCTAAATCAGATCACTATATTATGATACATCACGATTTAATCATCAAATTAAAATGTTTTTTGTACAAATTTGAATGTTCTTTTGTATGTTGTAAAGAGTTCGCCAGCATGCAGCTTTATTATTGCAAAAAAATTTTTAACCCAATTTATGCAACAAAACAATATACTGGTTATTGAGACAATGGTTCAGATCATGTGGCCCGCACTTTTGGGGGCCGCCCTGGCAACTCTATGTTGTACGAGGATACATCATAAATTATTTGGGGTCTTTGCATATAAACAAAAAACAATATACATGCAAATATATAGCATGCTATTGAGAATGACAAATTTAGTTTATCTTCAATGAGTTAACCTTTATTCTATATTTTCTACAGAAGGATCCCCAAATTTCCGGGTCGGAATGGCCGGAATGTGTCGTGGCTAGGGTCGGGGTTAGGTCTGGGTTAGGGTTAGTGAGAGCTATAGGCTATAGTAAAATTATCAGCTGGGCACTTTCACTTAATGAACGACTATTGTTTTATTAGTAAAATTCTTAATGATCTTGGGGCAAAATTGATCAACTCCGGCCTTTCCGACCAGAGTTCTGAAGCTCCCGACCCGGAATTTTGGGGATCTCCCTTAGGGATGGCAAATGTTTTAAAACACGATCTTAAAAATCCCGATTGTTTGATTTTTAATTGATTAAAAATGTTTTAATATGTTTTTAATAATTCTGTATATCACGATGTAATCATCATGATTGTAAAATTACGTAATTCGATTTATCATTAAATAATATTTATTGATTACTAATTACTAACGTTAATACGTATTAAATAAACAAAAAAATAAAATAAAAATAAAGTAAAAATTATCGTGAATAACTATGTCTCGCGGAAGACCTCCTTTGAAAGAAATTCGGTTAAACTTTACAAAAATTACAGAAGTTGATAGGCTTGGTCGAACAACACCTCGCCAAAAGTGTATTCATTGCGAAGAGGACTTTGTTGATTTAATCATTCGGTTAAAGGAACATTTATTTCCTTTAGTGGTCGAACTGGCTTGTCAAGTTCTCTCATTACCAGCTTCTTCTGCTGCTGCAGAACGTTGTTGGTCAAACTTTGGATTCATCATAATAAATATCGTGCACGCTTGGATAATGATTGGGTAAAAAAATTGGTGATGTCTATCAAAATTTGAGAATTCAGAAAGAAATTAGAGACGACAGTTGGTTTGACGATGATGATGATATCAATAATTAACTTAGAATAGATAATTTATTTTTATTATATTATATTGCTTCAAATTTTAAATGCAAAATATGCTATAAGACATTTAAAAAAAAAAAAATTCTAAGCAATTCATTTTTAAAAACTTTATTCAGCGAGATTTACATAGCAAAAATACATTGTATATTTAACATCAGCAAATATGTATTTAATATTGAAATAAAAACAATAAATAATTAAATTAAATCGATCAAAATTCATTTTTATAATTCTTGCACAAATAACGGCAATATTTTTAATAAATTCGAGATCATAAAATGAATAAGTTTTTTTTTGAAATTAAAATTAGCCAATTAGAAGTGGTAGTTTCAGTTTCAGCCAAAATTTAACATTAGCTGCCGATGTTTTAAAAAAATTTTTAAAACAATAAAAAACTGTTTAAAATGTTTTTTTACCATCCCTAATCTCCCTGTTGGAGAACTGGGCCAGGGCGTAGTCCATTTTTTCCGCAACACATGATGTAGATCAGTGATAATTCACGATTTTGTCACCTTTTTGTACTATATACGTACCATTTTTAAAACTTTGAGTGAAGGTATCTCGATAACCACCAAGCCATATTCGATAAGCTTTTTTTTATTCGAACTCCACAGATTCACAGAATTCAAATAAAAAAAGCCCATCAAATTTGGCTTGGTGGTTATTGAGATACCTTTACTCAAAGTCATAAAAATCTCAAACCGTCAATCAAAATAATTAACCAACAAATTTGGACCGGCAGATCCTCGATTTTGATTGGCTAACAGCTGAGGATCTTCGAAATTTTGGCCCACATTACAAAATTGGTTACTAATTTCCGGCCGGAATTAACTTTTTAATTTTTTT